TTAGTGATTATAAATAGTAAAGTGCAGTATAATTGAATTGTGAATTACTGAGAAAATAAAGGACATTAGATAGAATCTTTATAACGAAAGAAACTGCAAATTAAGTTGGCGAGTTTTTATTTAACAATCCAGAGATCGTACCCGAAGGATCTAGAAAATAATCGAGGTTGATTTAGTAAAATCTTAACAATATTTTAATGCAAAGCTTTATGGACAATAATTATAGTGAATCGATACCCTATCGCGATGCTCGATTTAATAACGACGACGATATCTAAACACCCGGCACTGGAAGTTTGCGAGAGAAATATTTAGCGGAACTCTGCGCTTTGACAACGGTGATTACCGCAGAAAATGGAACGATAATTCTTACTCCCATATGACCGACATAAATATTTCTAAAAAATTTAATTTGATTAAATGAATAAAGGTTATAATTAATTTTTATAATAAGTAATTTTCTAGTAATAAAACAGACTTAATTAATATTTATTACTAGTAAAAAAATAACTTATTTAAACAGCAGACTAAGAAGGGGTATTGCATTATTTTTAAATTAAAAGCTCCACATTGAAGTCAACCCATGCTATATCCAAAAATTTCAGACCATAATATTTTTCAATAAAAAATTTTGTACAATCTTTTGTGGTTAAATGCCAAAACTTCCTAAATCCTTAGTGGTCGTTATCCCGTTCCTCTCTTTAATTACCTCAAAAATTCCTCATATTTTTACTAGTAAGCGCTGTGAGAAACAATACGGCAACATTTGTGCACACCGCTCTTCGTGAATCAGCTGATTATCGCCTCTTCCATTGTTATGCGCCCGACCGCATGTTATCTGATAGAGGCAGCCATATTGTGTATTGTTTATTCGCACGGCACAAGTAGAATTCCTATATCAAAACAACAAAGACAGCTTGCATACGAATAGCAGCTGTGATCAGAGAAAAACGTCAACAAAAGTAGAAAATAAGATTTTTATTAACATATAAAATTCATAGAGTATATTTAAAAGTTCATTGTCTTTGTGATAAAATCGTGTTTCCATACATACAAAAAAGGAGAAATATTAAAATTGTAAAATCAGCATATCACGGGACATCGAACATCTTATTGGAAATTAAAAAGTAAATAATTTTATTGAAAAAGAAAAGGGCTGCGTAATTTTCAATTTTTATTATCACCATATTCACCAGTTAACTACCGTGTCACTCAGTTTCAGTGCAAGCTAGTGCATAGCAGTAGTGATATATTCAATAAAAAGTCTTATTGTGTTCACAAATGCCCAAGTGTATAGGCATAAACATATCTACATACCTATAACACCATATAGATTTTGCAATATTTTGTTTACACATTCGTTGACTTCTTCAAATACGCAAAAGACTCACTGCAGGTCAGGTAAGTACATAAAATCTACAAATCTGCGCATTTAAACATATTCCCATTTATGTACATACACGTATGTAAATACTAATTAACACGTACATATGTAGGTGTTAAAGATCAGTGTACATATCAATTTTTGCCTATTTATTTAATAATATCACACATTTAAACTGAAGTTCGTAAAAGCTTTATCGACCCTTTGTTAGATTTAAAAAACCATACGCGTATATATGTGACCGTTCAATAATATTTAAATCTTATCACTAAAAAATCTGCACTTGCACTTTCTATATAGAAAGCATTTCCATTTTTAACTGTATAGGTACTCGTTATTCAACAATTAGAATTATCAAGTGGGGAAAATTTAAAATAACAGATAAACAAAAAGTGAAAAGAATGATCCTTAGGCATTAAAATGGCTTAAATGTTGTTGTGAAGTAATGATTGAAAAGTGTACGAAATGTATTTATTCGAACGTATAAGGCTCCTGATTCTTTCTTAAGTTTTATTTGTACATTCAGCTTGGTATAAATCGTGCTAGAAACTAATGCAAAACTGAATCAGATCCCATTGTAGGTACAACCTTTGGCTAAAATTGATCGAATAAATACTTGTAGCAGCTTTTTTGTACAATATTGAATCATGATTTACCAACCGATCTTAAACGATATAAATTATATACCTGAACATCGGCTGATGACTATCAAAACAAATCAACGAACTTTCCTCCAACCTTTTTAATATTATATAGTACATCAGAAACTGTGGCTCTTATGAAAACATTACCCACCCATTTTTTTTTATTGTTAATTAGGGTAAGTGTGCTTGTGAAGGGACAACATATAGTTACCAAGCAGTAGAAAAGGAAAAATCTTAATAATTGTATATAAAAAATAAATGATGCATTCAAAGCAGGATTTTATTTGAAATCTTATAACTGCAGCCGCTGTAGCCGAGTTGTCCATTCGGAAGGCTCGACTTCACATCCTGTTGTCGTACTAAAATCCAAAAATTTAGAGAAAATTATTTTAAATAAAAAATTAAGTTAAATTTTTTAACTGCAGGGAATGTAAACTCCTCCGAGTGTATTTCTGACAAGAAATAAAGCTCCCCGTAAAAAACCATTAGCTTTTCGGAGGCGGCTTTGTACAACTTTAGATCATTCAATTTGTTGGAAAATATCAAGACGCAAAACCACAATTCGGAGAAGGAGTTCGGCCAAAAATTGCTTTAGCAGTTACAAAGCGTCAATTAAATATATTGCATGAATACACATATACACGTATGTATGTAGATATATATAACAAGTTCAATTTTTATGTAATTTCCTCATCGTTTTTGTTTAAAAGCATTTACTTGAAAAGATGTTACATATTACGAGTATATTTACTTTTGCATCAACTATTTTTTCAATTATAATTAAGAGACGTCTATTTTTTAGATTTTGAAATTTTTTTATTGCAAACGTCAAAACGATAACTGTTTTAAGTAGGGCCCAGAAAGATTTCCGGATCTTTGTTTTAGGATCTATTGGTTCAGTTTTAACCACATTTCGTTTATGATACAATTGTCAAATTTTTCTTTTTTAATTCCTCATTAAATATCAAAATATGATATACAACATATTTACTTATATCTTCATATTGCAATTGCGCTTTCTTCAAGTTTTCGTACCTTTCTCTCTTGACTTGCTACCGATTATAATATCACTTGTCATTGAACAGCGTCAGAAACAACTATACAACGAAAGCAGTTTTATTTCTCTCGGTGCTGACAAAAAACGTGCTTCCAGCATTATGATCAAGTCTACATACATATGTACATATTAAAACACTAAGGTATTTATTTTTTTGTGAGATAAGGCGGCTGAGCTGATCATGTTGTTGAGAAAGATTCAGCAAATAAATTACTAAGTCAAAACTTTAAATACTACACATATCACTATATATAATACATAGATATTTATATTCATATGTACATAAATATCTATGTATATGAATTATTTTCCGGTTCCCTCCATGATCGTTTGACTAGTTTGTTGCTTTAATTTATCAAACTAATTCGCAGATAATACAACAATTGATATCAAGAAGAATATAGGCGTCAATTCTTTCATATTGCAATTTATTATAAAAAAAAAATAATTAAAAAAGAAAAATAAATTTAGCAACAGAAGTGGATAACAGCAGCATACAAATTCAGTATTCTCAATTCCACTAACGAGAATATTTTAAAGAGAGTTTTGAACTCATTCTTGTCGCTGACTATTTTTATAATTTTTGTTTTTATATGAGATGTGTGTAGTCGACCTATGTCTTGTATACGTGAGATATCAACAGACAGTCGATGGCAGTATTTGCGCGGAAACTAACAAAAATTGTAGTAAGAAAAATAATAATAATTAAATAAATCAATTGTCGCTGTTAATAAAAGTTATCTGTAAAAAGGTGTTTTATTGAGACCAAGTTTTATTATTTCAATTAAATTCATTGATAATATTTAAGAAACGTACACAGTTTTATTGAAAATCTAAAATTTCATTGTGCCCAAGCAAACGTGTCAGTTTTGTTCTTTACCTACATACATAATATTTATTTAATGCATAATGAATAAGTTTAATCAAGTGTTTTTACTTACAAATTTTTTTTTAATTGGTTTATGACTTTTTCCAGCAAATGAAAAGCAAGCAGTAGTAAGAAAGTGAAATTATCAGCAGTGAGTTAAATTCTTTTGAATCACAAAATCAAATCTTTGTTTTTGCCAAACATCAATGGCCAATTGATGTATACGCAACGCCCGCATCTATGTATTTTCATTGTTGTACTTTGCGAATTATTTTTAATAAACAAAAGCATGTACATATGTACTTAAAGCAAAGCAAGCAAAAGCAAGTACCTACATATGTATATACATATGCATACATATTCATATTTGTTTATTTTACAGTTGAAAATCAATATTATGTATTTACATTCTCTATATGCGGCCACACATACATACATACATACATACTTATGTATTCTGCGTCGGTTAGATTTTTGCATATTTATTGTGGAGTTAGCAAATTTGAGAATTGTGTACAAATGAATGTACCTAAATATATGTACAATGCTCAGACACATAAAACAAACTTAAATGAGTATGTCGGGGAAAAATAATTCAAAATCTATTTATTTACATACAAGTAAAGTGTTTAAATGTGAGTTTCGAGCAGACATAATATCATTCTTATAATTATTCATGTTATCTACAAAACGTGCCCAAGATTATATTAAGACATCTGCAATCAGTGTAATATTATATACGATTTACGTTAAGCAAACGTTTAGTAGCTGTAATTTGGTGTCAGGAATTTTGCCACTTTAAAATTGTATTTATGGTATTTGAGGAATCTTCAGATTTTTCATAGGTCTCACAAATTCAAGCTCAATGCTTTTTATGTAGAGTTTTCCCGCGACTTCGTTCGCATAGAATTTTAAGAGAGTTCTAATAATAATAATAAGCTTTTTATTAGGCTTATACGTTATTATAATTTTAAAGATATTAATTTAAATGGTATGAAAAATAAAGGAATGTTTTCCACATATTAATCTAGGAATGGAAACTAATATGTTCCAATTTTCAAGGAAATTACACTTTAAATCGGATTCTTTCAAATAGATCGTTCGATAGAGAAATTTATTCACAAATTGACATAGGCAAAGAGCTTTCTATGTTCCACGTATCAAGCAAATCGAACCATAAATACGATATTTCCCAATAGGTCGATCCCAGGTTCACTTCCAGAGAGAAAAGTTATCCACATATCAACCTGGGCAAAGAACCGCCAACAAATGTTCCACTTATTATGCAAAACCTCACCATAGATGCTCCCGCTGTTAACTTAAGTAAAACCCTACCAAATATGTACCAAATTTTATGTGAATCGAACTATTTAAAATCACATTTCCTTTTTTCAAATGGGTTAAGCCCAAGTCGGTCGGTTGCCTACGTCATATGAAGAAAACACTATTCAAGTTTCATGTCTAGAGCATAAATGGTTTAGACTATCGGTTGATTCGTCAGTCTTAAAGAACAAAATTTTTTCTATACAGGATTTTCCAATAAGAGGTGTTATTTTTTGAAATTGAAAGAAAAATGGAATTTTTTGAAATTAATAATGGAAACAATACGTATAAGCCAAATTTCCGATCACCTCTCCGCGAAATAACATGATCTGGAAACTTTCTCCTTAAAAGATCGTTGCTTTTGTGAAGCGTCGCGTCTTCTTGTTGAAAGTAGAAAAAAAGATCGACGCCATACAATTCCGGCTATAAAAAATCATTAATCATATCTCGCTGGCACAGTCCATTCAGGCATCCCTCCCCTGATTTTGGATCAAAAATCGATTTGTTAAGCAAAAAATGAAAGCCACATGTTTGTGGAGTATGTGTTTAAAGGGATTTTGAAATTCGATGAATATTTTTAAAATAGCAGCTTCTCGAACACACCTGTCTGACGCACGCTGTGAACTTTCAGAAAACTTTGAACTCGTTTTGCTCGAAACCATGTTTTCCGATCCAACTTCAAGTCCCGGTTATGATCTTACCTTCCGATTTCTGTTATCTAAAAACTGTATAATATGAAGTATATAGTTTTATGTACGTCTTATTAATAATTAATTATTTACATCTTTGCTACATTGAAGTGAAAAGTAGCAAAAAATTTAATTTTATAATTTATGGTTTAAATTGTTTCAATTGAGATTGAGGACGTAGAAAATTTCATGATCTTCAAGTAATGGCAACGATTTTTGATTTCAGTCCAGCCTCATTTTCGAAAAAATAAGGTCCAATAACCCCGACGGATCATAAAAGGCTTTCCAACAACCAAGAATAAATTTTGGGTTTTCCCTGCCCCAAGCTCGACAGTTTTGCTTATCGATGATTTGGGATTCCGTATAATACTCATGCATTTCAAGGATCCAATCAATAACAACACGGCTTTATTGAAGATCGGCCAGCTTGAGTTCT